CTCAAAATGCACGATTCCTTCAAAGTTCCACCAAATGCACAACATGATTTTCTTGCCGAATCGATCTTGTTTTGGAACCGACGGTGTCTCTTGCCCTTTCTGAACCCATCGCTTGTCTCGATTGTGCTGGACCAGATAGACCCATTTCTCGTCCGATGTCACAATGCGCTTCCAAAAACGCTCGTCCAATGGATTGCTGAGCAATTGACGGCAAATTTCAACTCGTCTGTTGGCTTGTGCTTCGGTGAGTTTGTGCGGATCTTGGCGTGGCCTTTTTGTGAACAAAATCAAGTTGCTTCAAGTGTCGGTGAATTGTCGATTTGCCAACTCCAAGCTCATCAGACAATTCTCGATAAAGTTAAAAAAACAATTAAAAATTGCATGAAAATTCAATTTTTCGCAAGTGTTTACGAACTTTTGGGACAACCTAATATTAGCAATCAAGGACACCTGAACAATACCTCAAAATATCACCATACCCTTTTTCCTATAAAACCTGAATATACTGCAGGCTTTGTACGATCTTGAACCTATCTTCTTCTATGTGTCGTGTCCAGTAAGTACAATTTCCTGTTTTTTGTAGTAAATTTTGTCTTTTTGTTATCTCTCCTAATCCTATTTCTGCCAACCATGTACACAAACTCGTTTCTCCTGTCCTTTTTTTCCTTCACTCTGTTCTGTGAGTGTCAAATTTTCTTAGCCCTCTTTCCTCATAATGTGCTCTCTAAATTTCAACGGCCCCTTTCTGATGTTAAGTATATGTGTCCTTTTTGTTTCCATATTCTCTGAAAGATCATCGTTGCCCATATGTTCAGTCCAGGGTATTCTTTGCATCCTTTTGTAGAACCACATATAAAACCTGTAGAACAACATTTCTGTTGCCTCAAGTCTTTTCATTATCTGTGATGAGATTGTTCAACATTCACTGCCATATAGGAGATCTGATACTATATAACAATTAAGTACTCTTTTCTTATTTTCTTTTGAACGAAATATTCATGTTTCTTAATACATTGCTTAGCATTTGGAAGGCATCTTTTGCTATCTCAATGCGTCTTCGGATTTCGGTGATGCGCTTCCCGTCCTCCATTAAAACACTTGCTAGAGATTTAAATTTAATTTTTTGTGCCGTATTTCTGTTATATACTCTTTGTTTCTAACGAAATTTTCATGTTTCTTAATACTTTGTTTAGCTTTTGTAAGGCTTCTTTCGCTATCCCAATGCGCCTCCGATGTTGCATTTTCCACCCTCTATCCACTTATATTAAATGGTCTGATAATCTAGATTTCTAATTATGATAAGTATCTATCTATCTATCTATCTATCTATCTATCTATCTATCTATCTATCTATCTATCTATTCGTATTTAGCTATCCTGTTCATACGTACCTACCTACTTCAATTACGACTGAATAGTGAGTTCGATCCTCGCTGGGTGCCCCATAGGTTCAGAAATACCCAAAGGTACCGACCTACTTATCTATCTATCTATCTATCTATCTATCTATCTATCTATCTATCTATCTATCCCGATCTGTTCGTATTTAGCTATCCTGTTCATATGTACCTACCTACTTCAATTACAACTGAATAGTGAGTTCGATCCTCACTGGGTGCCCCATAATTTCGGTCATGTGCCATATCTAAGCTAGGTTTAGAAATCCCCAAATGTACTGACCTACTTATCTATCTATCTATCTATCTATCTATCTATATATCTATCTGTTATCTTATTACGTATTTTATATATAATATATAGTATATAAATGACGTAATAGTCTAAACATATCATTAAATTTCAGAAATACGTCTGATCTTTATCCACATAATCATCTGAACATTAATTGAAGTAAACATTGAAATCTTAGTGCAAACAGCATCATGTTTTTGTTTTTGTTTTTTTTGCTTGTTAATCAAATATTGGTTATTCACAGATATATTCGACGGAGATATCTTCAGCCAAACTATTTAAAAATTCATTTTATGAAAACTATTATATGCATAGATACATTCAGGGACAGATATAATCGGAAAGGTGTTTGAAATAAAGGTAAACTTTGAAAGATTAATTAAAAAGAAGATAAAGAAAACGAACAAATAAAAAAAGGAAATATGCCAAAAAGAAAGAGAAATAAAGAGAGAGAGAGAGAGACAAAGAGAAAGAGAGAGTAATATTTGTAATAAAAGGAAAAAAAAAGAGAGACTGAAGAAAAACAACCTAGGAACGTATACAGAGAAAGTGAAAAAGCGATATGAGAGAGAGAGAGAGAGAGAGAGAGAGAGAGAGTAGTGATTAGCGTGCGTGAAGAATAGGCAGATGCACTAGTTTGCTTACCGGATGGTTGGATGCCTAAAACTGAGAAGAAAACAATGAGAGAAACAGAATGATCCTGGACCGATTGCAGTGAACAACAGGAGTGAAAATCAGCACCCGTTTATATGTACAGCACGGTATACGATCAGGTAGCGTGCTCAGTTGTATGAATGAACACCTTATATGAATAATGAGACATAAAGTTGTCTGTCTTTACAACGCACCAGTATAGAAAACAAACCTCCACAAGAAGAGAAATTAAAAACAAAAAAAAAACGATCAGGGAAGTGATGAATAAAAACGAGTTCTTTCTTTCTTTCTTTCTTTCTTTCTTTCTTTCTTTCTTTCGATACTGGACTTTTTTTTTTCGTATTCGTCGTCAAATACAAATCTGCAACTTTTCTACGGAAAAAGGCATAAAAGATATGAAGAAATAAACGAAAGAAAGAATAGTAATCATTTTTAATGTGAATTCCATGAAGGTTTTTTTTCTAAAAGAATCATTGTATTTTCCTTATCACTTTGAAAAGATGTTCTTAAATTTCAGCGGTGGATCGGTTTCAGAGAGAGGAAGGGAGAGTGAGCGAGAAAGAAAGTGGTGGGGAGAGAGAGAGAGTAAAGTGGTAAGGAAAATATAGTGAAGAAAATGTGAAGGTAAGGTAGAGGTGAAAACGCAAAAAGAAGAAGAAGAAGAAGAAGAAGAAGAAGAAGAAGAAGAAGAAGAAGAAGAAGAAGAAGAAGAAAGAGTTGAAAAAGAGGAATAGAAAGACGATGAAAAATGGAAGGGCTAACAGAGAAGAAAAGACGAACAGGATGGAAAGGAGAAACGAAAGATATGGAGGAGCAGGGGCGAAAAGACGACAGTAGAATAAGAATAAAAAATAGAAAAGAAAAAAGTATTTGAACCGGAAATGATAGAGAATGACATACAGACAGACTGAGACAGAGAGACAATTAGATAGATAGATAGATAGATAGATAGATAGATAGATAGATAGATAGATAGATGCACATGTGCACACACGCACGCACACGCGCGTGCAGATATATAGTTTCAATTTTCTGTGTCGTGAAGGAATGCTCAATATCGATGTGTGAATTCTAATGTCCACAATATATCTATCTATCTATCTATCTATCTATCTATCTATCTATCTATCTATCTAGCCAGGTCTGTTCATTTTCTATCTATCTATCTATCTATCTATCTATCTATCTATCTATCTATCTATCTAGCCAGGTCTTTTCATTTTCTATCTATCTATCTATCTATCTATCTATCTATCTATCTATCTATCTATCTATCTATCTATCTATCTAGCCAGGTCTGTTCATTTTCTATCTATCTATCTATCTATCTATCTATCTATCTATCTATCTATCTATCTAGCCAGGTCTGTTCATTTTCTATCTATCTATCTATCTATCTATCTATCTATCTATCTATCTATCTATCTATCTAGCCAGGTCTGTTCATTTTCTATCTATCTATCTATCTATCTATCTATCTATCTATCTATCTATCTATCTATCTAGGTCTGTTCATTTTCTATCTATCTATCTATCTATCTATCTATCTATCTATCTATCTATCTATCTATCTATCTAGCCAGGTCTGTTCATTTTCTATCTATCTATCTATCTATCTATCTATCTATCTATCTATCTATCTATCTATCTATCTATCTATCTATTACCAGAGGTGTATACATAACTTCCAATTCCCATTGTTTTGAAAACTAGAGACCGAAAACGTAGTAAACTATCTTTTAATATGAATAACACTGAAAACTTTTTTCACACACGCACGCGCGACACACACACACACACACACACATATATATATATAGAGAGAGATATAGGGAGAGAATGCGAAAGAGCAAGAGAGAGACAGACAGAGAGGAAAGTAATTGGAACAGATTATCATAGATAGATAGATAGATAGATAGATAGATAGATAGATAGATAGGAACAGAATGAGATAGATAGATAGATAGATAGATAGATAGATAGATAGATAGATAGATAATGTCCTGTTTAGTTGGGGTGTAGGTTGTTGTCTGTATTTCCTTAGAATCTATGGTCTGTCTTTTACTATAGATAAAAACAAAGATTTCGAATACTGTTTCTCATGCCAGGGTGGTAGGTATGGAAGTATTGGCGCAGTACAATCTTTCTTACACCTTTTTCTCGCTTTGGTAGATGAAGATAAGTGTAGGGAACTTTGATAGACAGATGTACAGATGTATAAAGGGTTTGCTGAAGAAATAGAAACACAGATATATATTTTTAGGAAATGGTTTAAGTCCGACACATTGTTATTTTCTTCATCTATTTTCTTTAAACGTTATTTTTGATGGATACTCATATTCGAGTAGAAATGCTGTTTTCTTAATTAAACAGTATTTTATTTATTTATTTTTTTATTCAACTATATCTACCGGCCTGAATATTCAAGAAATCTTGTCAGAAAAATGTCGGCAGAGAAGTGTGTATTCAAAAGGCAATATTCACGTTTTGTTTGACCGGAAGTCCTACGCGACCGAGCGGTAAGGCACGCCAAATCCAATGACCCTTCACCATAAGGGGTGTAGGTTCGAAACCTGCTGGAGGACGCATATTTTTCTGACTAGATTGTATTATTGTACGCGTGTTTGAATTAATATTTATTAAGCATAGCTTGCTTACGGCCATAGCACGTTGAAACAGCGGTTCTCATCCGATCACTGAGGTTAAGCAATGTTGAACCTGGTAAGTATCCTAGATGGGTGACTGCTAGTGAGTACCAGGTACTGTAAGTCCCTACCAACATGAACTGGGGCAGCGAGGTAGGGTGACGGCCCATTCCGACGCCATGAACGGCAAAGGGTAACATTTGGGTAAAGCCTACAAATCCGACAAAAGGACTTTCATGTGCTGGTTAAGATTATGATAAGATTAAGAATAGATTGAGATAAGTATAGCTTAATAACGCACGAGGCCAAATTAGACGGAAGTGAATGGAAATTTCGTTCATCTTTTAGAAAAAGGTAACAATATTCTTTCTATATACAGGGATGGTGAAATTCGGTGTTTTGAGGCTAGCTTACTGAAATACTGATGGGCAAAAATGTTTGATTTTTAACAAACGTTTTTTTGCATTGACAAGACCCATTTTGTTTTTTTGTTTTTTTTTTGCGCTGTTTGTTTTTGATTTTATCAACTGCGCAGAATAGTAGGTTCAGTTGGGCAACGGTCCGTGAGAAAAACAGCGCCATGATGTAAGTCACTCCGCCAGAAATTTGGAAAAGGCATTCGTGCTGTAAGCTCCAATACGAACATTTCAGATTGTTTGAGTGTCAGTCTGAGGACAGTGCAGAGGATTCGGAAAGAGTTTGATGAGTCTAATGGTGATTACGAAGGTGTTTGGAGTGATTACTAGTGATGGCGACGTTATACTTCCATTCATTTTCCCACAGGGCCTCACTCCCAACACGGAAGCCTACATCGTCTTGAGAAGGTAGTGTCGTTATGGGTCAAGATGGTGACTGCTGAAAAAACCCTGTCTGGCAACAGGACTCTGCACCATGCCACACAAGCAAGAAAAGCCAGTCATGGCTGTCAGACAATTTCTGCGACCACATCACCCTTTACATCTAGACATCTAATTTCCCAGACTTCACCCCCCACCCTTGATTATTATGTATGTGGCGCGGTTAAGCGAGGGACCAACAAAACTCCATGTAATACCAAAAGACAAACTGAAGGCAAGGATCATGGCAGCATTCACCAACTTAAACAAGGAGATCTCTCAGAAGAGTTGCAGGAGATTCCAAAGTCGTCTGGAGGCCGTGTTTAAAGCCAATGACGACTTTATTGAATAAATTTTTCTTTTTAATATTTCCAGATATTTTTGTGTAAAATGAGATGTCAGTGTTATTTTCATTTTAGCGTAATTTAATGACAATTTATCCATCGCACCCCATACATACATATATACATACATACATATATATATATATGCCGTCACACATTATGAAATGGACAGAGTCTGACAATTATTTTAAGACGTTTTTATGTTTATACGTTTTTTTTTTTATAGATACAAATACTTAAGTAAATGCTCTGTTTATAATAAACTATGAAAATTTCTCGTACATTCAGGCCCGTAAATGTCGGGAGTGTGTGTGTGTGTGTGTGTGTGTGTGTGTGTGTGTGTGTGTGTGTGTGTGTGTGTGTGTGTGTGTGTGTGTCGCGCGCATTAGGTGTATGCAAATGTTCCCAACGATAAAATGGTTTTCAACTGTGCATCTAATGCAACAAAAAAAAAGTCATCGTAATTTTTTTTTTTATTTCTTTTGGAGCAACATATTATTTCTATCCCCATTTCCCTCTATTTAATTTGACACTGTGCCATATATATATATATAACTATGAATATAAATATTAATTTAGATACAAAAAAAAACAAAGATAATTATCGTATCTGTCGGTGTAGGAAACATAGGTCGTTTTTCCTAAAATAGTGATTAAATAATACATTAGATCTAATGAACTGTTAGTATAGATAGGAGGTTGAGCATCGAAAGTCATCTGTTTACTTTGGAAGTAAAACTGTTTCAAGCAAATTGTTTAAAAAATATCTTTGTAAAGTACAAGTCTTCTAAACAGGAAAACATAATGTAGGGAAAGATACAAAAAGATAAAAAAAAAAAATGGAAGAGGAAATGTTGTCTGGTTATTTAAATCCATTCGTGTGTCCCAATAAGAATGATTTCAAGAATTATTTTATAAGGACAGAAGAAAAATAGTCTAATTCCAAAGAAGAACAAGAAATAAGTCAAGTAAATGAAAAAGAAGAAGAAGAAATAGAAGATGATATGAGAAACAAGAAGAAAAAGAAAAAGAAGATGGAATGGGAAACAAGGAGAAAAAGAAGATGGTATGAGAAACAAGGAAAAGAAAAAGTAAAAGAAAAAGCAGAAGAAGATGGTATACACAACAGGAAGAAAAAGAAGATGGTATGAGAAACAAAAAGAATATGAAGATGGTATGAGAAACAAGAAGTAGATGGTTTTAGAAAGAAAAAAGAAGTAGATGGTATGAGAAAGAAGAAGAAGAAGAAGAAGAAGAAGAAGAAGTTGGTATGGGAAACAAGAAAAAAAGTAAGAGATGAAGATGGTATAAGAAACAAGAAGAAGAAAAGAAATAGATGGGATGAGAGACAAGAAGAAGTAGAAGAAGGTATGAAAAGCAAGAAGAAAAAGAATGAGAAACAAGAAGAGGAAAAAAGAAAAATGAAAGGAAGATGATATAAGAAACAAGAAGAAAAGGAAGGTGGTATGAGAAAGAAGATGAAGAAAAAGATGTTCCGAGAAACAAAAATGGTGCTGTTCATATGAGGAAAGAAGGAAAAAAAGAACGAAAATGACAATTATATTGAGATAAACGCTGAGATAGATAGATAGATAGATGAGAGAGAGAGAGAGAGAGAGAGAGAGAGAGAAAGCAATGAATTAAAAGCTGACTGACGGTTTCAGAAATGAAAAGGAAAGAACGAACTGAAGAATAAAAAGAAAAAAAAAACAGAAAAAGGAAGTGTTAAAGAATGAACAATAACGAAAGAGAGAACGGAGGAGGAGATAACAGTCTGTAAAGTAGACGACCAAAAAAACAAAAAAATTAACAAAACAACAAAAAAAAAAAAAAAAAAAACGGTTCAGATGGAGAATAGACCGGCCACTATTTCAAGATAAGAAACTCATTTTTGCAATTGTTTTAAAACCTAGCCCTCTCGATATTTACTAGGCTCTGCTTCATACGGCAAAAGGTCAAATGGGTGAAACTGGCACAGGAAGATTATGTTACGCCAATAATCCAAATGGGGAAATCTACCGTCATTAAAATCAATATTCAAAATATCGGTTTTTACCTGGACTCGAACACTGGCCATTGGCGCCAGGGGCATAGACACCGCTATCTAACTCTTCGAGACAGGCAGAACCTCTCTTTTATTTTTAGCCAAATATTTTTATATTTATTTAGTTTTGATTACCTCCACCCCCACTATTGTTACTTCCTTTTTCTAGCCATCTTTAAACAACCACTACTTCATCCATCAACCCCCATTTCTATTCCCAACCGCCATCACCAATCAACGATTACCACCGCAACCAACGCGTATTACTACTACTACTACTACTCTTACTACAGCCACCACCACCGCCGCCATCTCAGTTCCATCATCATTACAACGACAACAACAACAACAACAGCAACATTCTCATAGTCTGTATTTCACCCTCTCTGTCCCGTTTTCGATGAATTTTTTATCATTTTGAATAAGGATTTTTATTGCTGGTGCCGACATATCCAAACAATAATAATAATAATAATACCAACATAACAGTAATCATGCCGGCCGAAGGAGGCGATATGGAAGACACCGGTACTGGCCAACAAGTTTATGGTAAGGCCTTTTCTATAATTCTTTGCCACCACCCCGTCCCGTTTCGTCCATTTCCCTTGTCTTTTCTCCCAACTTCTTTTTATACACTTACTTTTCGTTACGTTGCCTTTTCAGCTGTTAGTCTTTGCGTTTTAGTAGCCCGTCTAGATATTTGTTACCTTATATAGTTGTTAATTAAAGCGCTTCTTTCTTTCTTTCTTTCTTTCTTTCTTTCGTTCGTTCGTTCGTTCGATCTTTCTTTTTTTTCTTTCTTTCTTTCTTTCTTTTTCTTTTGTTCTTTTTCTTTCTTTCTTTCTTTCTTTCTTTCTTTCTTTCTTTCTTTGCTAGAAACCTAAGTGCAAAACATTGTCCTCTACCTCTACCTTTTCTTTTTAAAAAATATATATATATATATATATATATATATATATATATATATATGTATGTATGTATGTATGTATGTATATGCGGAGGGAATTGAATTTTGATGATATAATATTCGTCATTTTGTTTAATTTCAACGACACCAACAACCCGTGACTAAATGTGCAAAAGATGATAATGAATGATGATACTGATGAATGACACACGGGACTCTCTAAAAAATATACTTCAAATGAAGATCCAACCAAAGGGTATGTTTGTATACTTCACTCAGAACAAAAAGCTTACGCTGGCAAAGAACTGATAAAATTATTGAAGATTTGACTAGACTTGCTGTCACTCAGTCTCCAACATTAATCACAAATCATTCAGTGTTAACATGACAATTGCAACAACAACAACAACAACAACAAAAAACAACAACAACAACAACAACAACAATAATAATAATAATAATAGTGTTGGAGTACTGATGAGATTTGCTATCACTTAATCTCCAGTGTAAACCAATACTGACATAAACATTCAATGAACGAACGAACGACAACATCAACAACAGCAGTAATAATAATAATAATAATAATAATAATAATAATAATAAGGATACTACTACTACTACTACTACTAATAATAATAATAATAATAATAATAATAATAATAATAATAATAATAATCTTGCGTAGATTTCTCTCTATACAATGACCACAACTGCATTTTTCTGTTTGCATGCTACCTCATTTGTTTGCATCTTTTGATACAAAAAATCTTGTTGTCATTTGAAGTCTCCGGTTTAGACTTAGAGTCAACTTGTACTACACCAATTAATGGCATAATAATAATAATAATAATAATAATAATAATAATAATAATAATAATAATGATAATCCAGTGAAAGGGGCAAATTCCTACGGGTGCAAAGTACAGATAATAAAGTAAAAAGATTGTCACTGAAGAACGGTAGTTACTGAGACAACAAAATTATTACGAT